AATTGCTTAATTTGACAAAACGATCAATCATATCAAACAATGAGTTCCAATGTGTCTTGCAGTCTAAAATAGGTTTAAGCTCATGTGCAAATTCTGATTTTACATGGTTCTGCAACATATGATCATTTACAGGTGATTTTTTAAACAATTTTGTTATTGAGTAAACTTTTTTTAAAATTGAAAAATAATTTTTGACAATAACAGGTTCTTGTGAACTATTTTCAAATTCAATGTAGCCTAGATCTTTACTTTGATTACGCTCTTTACTGTCATCTTCACTACCATTATTATTATCACCATCATCAACAATATCATTCTGGTCTAAAATTTCTGCTGGTTTTACCTAAAGTACATGCCCTACTGTCAAATGAATTTCATGGGCATAGCAGATGTGATGCAGTGGCTTGATTAAACGTCCAAATTTAACCATAACAGACGCACCGTCTGTAGTTTTATTAACAATATCATAATTAAAATCTAGTTTAAATTTTCTCAACCTTTCACTCACTATCTCAACCGCTTTTTCAGATGGCATACTCCCAACAACACGCACAAGGCTAAGATTAAAAAGGTTTCCATTTGTGTGCACATTAATGTTCATATAACGACGCGTTTTAATTGAAGTTTTAATTGAAATTTAAATCTCATATTGTTAGCTTTCATTTCTTTTAATTCTGACGCATTGAGTCTTAATGTCTTTGGCATGAGCCAGTAAAATATTTCTAATAGATACTGAACTTGAAGGTATTTTGTGTCCTTTGGCTAAAGCAAATTCTCGTAATGTCTTACTTTTAGTAACAGTATTAAATGAAAGTCCATAAATCGCAATGAGATCTGGTAATATAGTGGCAATGGTATCTTTTGTTTGTACAAAATTTATGATATCTTTTTGGGATGAACATTGAACTACTTTTGTAGTAGGTAATAATGGCATTTTATTTTTAAATGCTTTTGCATCACACTAGTACAACCTCTTTTTATTGTTACAATGACGTTACAGGTTTTGCATTTAGCAGTTTTTACTTTGCACTTTAAGAAATGCTGCCAAACAGGAGTATAGCTTATAAATTCTTGAAAAGTCATTTTAAAATTGGCTTTTTAAAAATTGCTTTGATATAAAATAATGCTTTTAAGTGTAAACAGATTGACAAGCTGTTGTGTGCGGATTTAACAACATTATAAAAAGTAATGTTTTGTAAAAATACTTGGGAACCGAATACCCGAATAAAATAGATCCGGGTCCGGATCTTAAATTTAAGACACGGGTACCCGGGTATTCGGATCAGGATCTTGGATCCGACTATGTCCTACACCTCGTCAATACCAATCAAAAAATGTTTTTATCTACGCTACGGAAACAATCCTTGACTATTTCATTCGTACTCAATATATATATATATATATATATAATATATATATATATATATATATATATATATATATATATATATATATATATATATATATATATATATATATATATATATATATATATATATATATATATATATATATATATATATATATATATATATATATATATATATATATATATATATATAGGGTAGAAACATTTTAGGTCTTTAAGACTTGCTTTTTAACTGAGACCCTATTTTAAAGGAACACGTTCTAAAAGTAGCTAAGTCACAAAAAAAGGGCGGAAGACTGCAAGTATATTACCTCTCAAATGAAAATGAGTTTATTGCTGAATGTTCTGATTTTGTTAAGTAGCATGTTTTAGAAAAAAGATATTCTGCAAACTACTACGCAATAATTGCAGATTCTACAACAAATTCATTACATGTTGAGCAAATAATATTTGTTTTACGATACCTAGTTGCCATGAATCGCTATATAAAATTGTGGAACGATTTTTGAAATTTGTAGATTGTAATGACAAAAAATCTTATGAAATTGCTCGAATGATTACAAAAACGTTAGAGAGTAATGCTATGCTACTCAAAGTTATAACAATGCGCCAAATATCTCCATTTGAAGGTTCGCGACAAACCATTTGTAGCTCATCTTCCAGGAGTAAATCTGGCTTTGGAATACTTGCTCCAGCTAAATATTACTTCAAAAACTAGAAAAGAGATCCATGGAGCAATTTTTTATATCAGTATGTTTAACTGCAATATAATGTCAGTTGTGTGGGACATAATATTAATTCCAATTGACATATGCAACATTCAAGTCATTCAAACCAGTAACGCGACTTTAAATATGGAAGTTTCAAATATAGAAAGCTTACTTTCACAATTAGTAGCTATTCCTGACAGTTGGAAAGCAATATAGAATGAAGCTAAGCTTGTTGCATCTAGCCTTAATATAGAAATAAAATTGTATAGGAACGATAGCAGAAAACAATTCCACAATAAAAATGTGAGTAAAATTAGTGAGGCAGGCGAATCTCCCTTGGAATCCCGATTCCGAAAGCAATTTTTTAATGTAGTTTTCGATAATGTTATTAGAGAACTTACGGTTTGTTTTAGCGCCGCAAAACAGATTTCTGAAATCTTCAGCTTTCTTTGGAACTAACAAAAAATGTCATACGTTGCATATTTTTATTATTATACCGTTTTGTATAACGATCATTAATTGTTGAAAAGAGTCACAAGTTGTATTTTTAAATGCTATATATATAGCAAAATTTTGTTGCAAAATCGTTGAGATTGTTGATAAGTAATGAAAACATTGAAAACAAAATGGCTTTTAAATGCGTTAAACAACAAGGTAACCAGGCGTGTCTATTATCTCCACAATATGGAGATGGACAGTCAAAGCGATTTATTTGGCAGATGACTTCTTTCTTCGTAGTAAATAATATTACTTCAGATCGAAGTAATATTATTTACTACGAAGAGCTACGCGTACTTACTTGTAGCTCTGCCGTCGAAGACTCACCAGACCATGACGACAAATATGACGACAAAATTATGAGAAAAACTAAAGGATTATTACCGTTGATGTGCGTCATTCAAAATAATAAAAAAAAGATGACCGGCGCTTGATTATCGCGGACTTAACACCTATGCAAAAGCCTCAACAAGGGTTGCGGATGATATCAACGATGCATTGAGGGGTTGGAGACTCATGAGTAAAAATAGCAACGACTCGGTGGTGAATTTAAAAAGAGCATACCAACAAATTTATGTGCATAAATGACATTGGCCATACCAAATTGCCATTTACAAAGATCAACGATATGCGCTTACACGTTTGGGATTTGGTTTGAACATAGCACCTTTGATGATGAGCTCAATACTAAGAATAGTTCTCCAACAAAATTCTTCACTTGCAAAATCAATAAGAGGATACATTGATAACACCTTAGCTCTTCTTAAAAGCTTAATTAAAAAAATATCTTTATCGTTATAAATTGTCGCTAGCTAGTTGCTAGCTTATTTGGCTGGCTAGTCGCTAGCCGATTTCCCATCCTAGGACAAATATCGCTGGCTAGTCGCTAGCCGATTTTTGTCTAGTCGCTAGTCGCTGTCGCTGTCGCTAGTCGCTGACCAAATATCGCTGGCTAGTCGCTAGCCGATTTCCCATCCTAGGACAAAGTAAAAATGTAAGTTTGAAAACTTCCCAGCAAACACAAGACGTCTTTAAGACCGTCTTAATTGGGTCTTTAAATGGTCTTGTCTTTGATTGACGTTTTAAAGACGTCTAATTAACGTATACTGATATACCCTTTTTTTTGGCTAATCTAACCTATCATATGTACGTCTTAAAGACGTCTTCAAAAAACTTTTTAGTCGTAAAAATATTTCGCGTCTTTGTAAGACGTCTTTATAACGTCTATTTATGGATTTGTTTAAACATTTTTATAATCCTATTAAAGACGTCATTAAAAAAGACTTTTAACTATCTTTTTAAAGACGCGAAAGTTTTCACGGCAACAAAAAGTTTTTTTTATATAAAGTTAAGTTTTACTTCAACCAATATTAATTTTCTAAACCATTATTCCAGCAAAAAGATTTATTAAAGTATTATTATGGAAACTGAAAATCGAACGAAGCGTCGTCGCCTAAATAAAAGTATATTGGATTTTATTATGAAATTTGAAGATGAAAAAGATGAAATTAATAATATTAGTACACCTGATTTGAATCCTGAACTTAATGCTTTTTATGTTGAGCCTGAAATACCTTTTGTACCTTTGGTACCTTTTGAAGCCCTAAATAATGATTTTAAAGAATGCGGAGTAACCAGTTCATCTTCAAGTTTTAGATATGAGAACTATGATTGTTATAATGCATCACCATTGTTGACAACAGAAACATTATCAGAGGATTTGGCAGTGTGGTCAACGAAAAGCAAAATTTCTCAAAGTCTTTTAAACGAACTTATAATGATTCTTAGAAAATATGGTCATTCAGAGTTGCCAAATGATGCAAGAACCCTTTTAAAACCCTTTAAAGTTGTTAAAGTACATAAGAAGTGTGGTGGAACTTATGCCTATTTTACTATTGCTGATAGCTTAAATTATTTTATGAATACAAAAAATGCTTTTCAAAGTACCGAATTATCTATTACTATTAATGTTGATGGACTACCTCTTTTTAAATCTTCTAATCTTCAACTATGGCCAATTCTTGGTCTAATAGAGAACTATATTTTCATTATTGCACTTTTCTGTGGAGATGCTAAACCAAACTGCTTAGATGATTTTCTTAATGATTTTATTAAAGAATTTTTATTGTTAACTAATGAAGGTTTTTATTATAATAATAACAAATTTAAAGTTACACTAAAAGCATTCATATGTGATGCACCTTCTCGCTGTTTTCTTAAATGTATACAAGGTCATACAGGATATTACTCATGTGAATGATGCCAAGTTAAAGGATTATACGAAGAACATAGAGTTGTTTTTATTGATAACAAGCCATCAACTCCGAGATTAACTGAAGAGTTTAATACTTTTGTGTACACTCAACATCAAAAATCTCTTACTCCTTTAGCTCAACTTGAAATATCTTGCATTTCTGATTTTGTTTTGGATTATATGCACATGGTTTGTCTTGGTGTAGTAAGACGCATACTTACCTTTTTAAAGTCAGGTCCAAAACATTGTAGACTTTCAAATGCCCAAATAAAGAATATATCTGATAATCTGTTAAGCTTACGTGGCATGATGCCATCTGAATTTGCTCGACAACCACGTTCCCTTTTGGAGTTAGATCGATGGAAAGCTACAGAATTTAGACAATTTATTTTATACACTGGACCCTTAGTTTTAAAGGGTGTTGTTAGTAAAGAAATTTACAATCATTTTCTAACATTGCATGTTGCAATGGTGATTCTCTTAAATGAGGACAATCGATTTAGAAAGCATTATCTTACATTCGCTAGAGAACTATTAAATTATTTTGTTATAAATTCAAAATATTTATATACAAAATCATTCTGTGTTTACAATGTTCACTCTTTACTTCATATTTGCGATGATGTTGTTAAATTTGATTGTTCACTAAATGACATTTCCTGTTTTCCCTTTGAAAATTTTATGCAGACATTAAAAAAAGCAGTAAAAAATTCAAAGAGTCCTGTTGTTCAAATAGCCAAACAATATGAACGAATACAATCTTTATTAAATACAAAACCTCGAAAACTTAAAATTTCAAGTAAGCAGAATAATTCATGTTTTTACATAAAAGAAAATCAATTTTGTTTTGTTGATGAGAAATTATCATCTGGTTTTTTTAAATGTAGAATGTTTAGATTAGATTTACAAGATGATTTATATACACAGCCTATTGCGTCTAAAACCTTTAAAATTTTCTTTATACCAAATATTGATGAAATTCGAGTAAAAGTGGTTGAGTTAGGAATGGAAAGTCTTCTTCGAAAAGTTGTTGTTCTCCCTTGGAAGGAAGGTCTTGTTTGCTTTCCTTTGTTGCATGAAATAGAACATTAGTTGAAATCTTTTTAAATAGAAATTACTTTTGTTGAAATATTTTATGTTTATCCTGTTTTATTAATTTTCATCTTGTGACCAAAGTTTAATACCGAATCTTATACTGTAAATAATATATATAAGAGCGCTAACTTGTCTTAAATTAAAATTAAAGTTTAAAAGGAAAAAATTATGAATTACTATTAATATATATATATATATATATATATATATATATATATATATATTATATATATATATATTATAAATATATTATATATATATATATATATATATATATTATTATATATAAATGTATGTTTTTGTTGCTTTTATATATATATATATATATATATATATATATATATATATATATATATATATATATATATATATATATATATATATATATATATATATATATATATATATATAAATGTATGTTTTTGTTGCTTTATATTTATATATATATATATATATATATATATATATATATATATATATATATATATATAAATGTATTTTTTTGTTGCTTTATATTTATATATATATATATATATATATATATATATATATATATATATATATATATATATATATATATATATATATATATATATATATATATATATATATATATATATATATATATATATATATATATATATATGTTAATAGTGATTCATAATTTTTTCTTTTTATACTTTAATTTTAATTTATTTCTGTTGTTTGTTTGTTACAAGGTTATAATTTTAAAGAAAAAGATCATCTTTGATTGAGATTATTGTAGCTTCATTTAAAAATTTATTTTAATGCTATTATTGAAAGTTTTTTGAACTTAAAAAAAATTAATCATTTAAAATCAGTAAATAAATTAAAAACTTTAAATAAAAATGAGGTAAAATGAAAATCATTTGTCTAAGAGATTTAATTTCTATAACATTGCATCTGTTGCTTACAAAAATTAAAAAATTTAAACAGCCCAGACAGTTATTTTAATACCATTTTTTTAATTTTTTTTTTTTCTTTGTTTCGTAAATTTCTTGAGACAAATTAGCGCTCTTCCTCATCATTATTACCATAGTTATTAACCTAATGGTTTTTTTAATTTCTTTTTGTTGCTTTATAAATTAAAAGACAGTTATCTTTTTGTTATTGAAACTTATTACTGTTATTCCAACTTATTGTAAGGACTATTTTTTAGGTTTTAAAGTTTTTTTAGTTTAAACCTTAATGTAATTTTTACACTATGATTTAGTTTTACACCATGATTTGGGCAAGAGCAGTTTGGATAAAGAATTATGAGGAAATAGAAGATGTTGTGCCTAGAAAGTGGATAGATACAGAAAAAAAATTGTTATTCTGGCCTGCAGGTGTATCTTATCGAAGAGCTGTTAAAGAAGAAATGGATGTGGATGAAACATGGAACAAATATAAACTTATTAAAATTAAATTTGAAAGTGGTATGAAATTTTCACACACAAGCATACATTATATACTGGCAATATAAATGATGTAAAAAACTGCCAAAAATATCTGATGTTTATATTGGATTTATAATAGCTTTTATTTTTTTAGATAATATAGAGGAGCTGAAAGAATATTGTTACACCACTGCAGCAGAGGAGGAAGATGTAGTAGATATTTGTGTTTCCAAAAGTGCCTTTAAATTGAAAAGTAATGTTAATTGTGTATTTGCATTATATAATTATATTCTTGTTTACTATTTCTTTTTCTTTTTTTAATATGAAATCTATATTGTAAATTGATATACTTCTTTAAATACTATATGAAAAATAAATAATAAAATTATTATATTTTAGAGTTACCTGATTTTCCTTTGCCTCCACCAGTTTTTAAATCTGTGGAGAAAAATCCATTAAAGAGATCCTTTGACTTTAGTTTATCTCCTGGTTCTACTTCTTTCAAACAATCAAATCTGTGTTGTGTGTAGACTTTGTCTATTAATTTTAAATTTTTTTCAAAATTTATTTTTTTATTCAATCTAAAATATTGCTTAATGTTTTTAGCTTTGTCAGACACTTTTTTACCTCAACATTCAATTACAGAGCAATAATCAACATCTTATTCTGGTACATTATGTATGTTTTGAATTTTTTTATCTAAATTTTTTCTTTATTAAAGTTGAATATTCTTTTATTGTTAATTTTAGCTTTGCCTAAGTTTTTTACCTTCACAACTGGAATGGAACAATCAAATTTTTCTTTGGGTACATTGTCCTAAACCTAACCCTGGACCTAACCCTGTTGATATCTGATAGTTTTTATCTAAAATTTCTACTTTTGAAAATTGTATTAGTTTTTTGTATTTTGATAACAAATTTGTTTTCCTTCAAAATCAGCTTGTAGACAACATGTAATTGTGCTTCCTATAGTATACATTCTGTAGACAACATATATAAAAAAAATTTATGTTTTTATTTTAAGTCTCTATATTAGAAAACCATGAGTTTCTTCTCCTAACTTTTGTGATTTTGGGGAGGGTTTTAATAAAAATATGTCAGAGAAAAATGCATCAAAAATTTTTGAAAAACTTTGCAAATGAAAAAAAAACAAATTGGGAGGTAAAATTAAAGCAAATACATACATATATATATATATATATATATATATATATATATATATATATATATATATATATATATATATATATATATATATATATATATATATATATATATACATGTATGTATATATATATGTATATATATATATATATATATAATATATATATATATATATATATGTATATATATACATTTATATGTATATATATACATGTGTATATATATATATATATGTATATATATTTATATCTATATGTGTATATATATATTTGTATGTATATATACATGTATATATATATGTATATATATTCATATATATGTATATGTATATATATATTTATATGTATATATATGTGTATATATATATATATATATATATATATATATATTTATATGCATATATACATGTATATATATATATATGTATATATATTTATATATATGTATATATATATTTATATGTATATATATATATGTATATATATATATATATATATTTATATGCATATATACATGTATATATATATATATATATATATATATATATATATATATATATATATATATGTATATATATATTTATATATATGTATATATATATTTATATATATGTATATATATATATATTTATATGTATATATATATATATATATTTATATGCATATATACATGTATATATATATATGTATATATATTTATATATATGTATATATATTTATATGTATATATATGTATATATATATATATTTATATATATAAATATGTATATATACATTTATGTATATATATATATTTTTTTTTGCTTTAGTTTTATCTCCCGAATCTCAAGAATCCAAAAAAAAGCTTCTGAAAACAGACGTACAAAAAACTGCGCTTGGACCAGAGAAGTTAGTTAAAAATCAATTTCCTATGGAAGTTGGAAGTAAGTCCTTAAGTATTTATTTGATTTTTTATATTGGAGGAAACAAAATAATATTTTTTGTACTTGGATTATTTTAGGAATAAAAACAATAGCTATAGATATTTTTGAAATTGTATAAATAAATGTTTTGCATTCAATATATTACTTTTTTCATTTTCTTCATATAATTTAGAATACCAGCACATGATGTTCAAGATGCTTTCAAAGGTTCTTGAAAAGCAAGAGCTTATTTTAGCATTAAACAAGCAACCACAAAGTAATATTGCAATCAAGCAGTTAGAAACAATTGCAGAGTTTGAGGACTTTAACAAAAGTTTAGTGGATGATTGTGTTAGACTTGATTTGGTAAATAGTTTATCTATATAAATTAAAAAATAAAAATAATTATTGTATTATAATTATTTTTTCTAACTTTTGTTTAGGTTAAACAACTCAGTTTTTTATGTGCCGAAGATTTTAAACAACTGACAAGATTGGTCATGAATAGGTTTTAGTATTATTTTTTTGAATGGCTATCATATTTGTACTTTTTTGTTGTCAATTTTTTTTAGGTTTAGTAATTTTGGAAATCAATAATGGTAAATTGTTTAATATTTTTCATAAATTTTACTGTGTATTTGATTTGTTTTAAAGATTATTTACAAATACCCTGTTGACACAGTTCAACTTAAAAGGTTCTGGCGGAAAGATTGGTTTACATTCAACCAAACTATATGATGTAATAGAAGGTCAAAAATAAATTTTAATTATTGCACTTTTAATTTAATTAAAAATCTATGTTAAGTTTTTTTCAATATATTTGACGAATACATCCTACATTATGCTTTACTTGATTTTTAGAAGTAGTAAAAAGAAGGTTTGAAAAGGTTTCAAATGCTGAAATTAAAGAGCAAATTGGACGTTTTTGTAAAAATGCTCCTTCGCGGGAAAAAAATAAATAAAACGAATTATTCTTTTTTATTTTTTCTGTAAATTTTCATATAGAAATCTTTTTTATTTTGTGTAAATTGTTATATAGAAAGATATTAATTAACAATCCAACTAGCTGTATTTTATGTACCTTATTAAATTATTTGCTTCTTTTTTTTAAAAAAAAAAATCTTTAATGTTTCTAAAATACATGTAAAATACTAAATACTTTCTTAAAATACATTCAGAACGTAAGATATATAAAAAATGCCCGTTGGGATGGTAAATTGCTTATTTTTCATAAATTATGTTTATTCATTATGTGTTATAGATTATTTATAAATACCCTATTGACACAATTCAAATTAAAAGGTTCTTTTGGAAAGATTGTTTTAAAATCAACCAAACAATATGATGTAATAGAAGGTAATAAAAAAGAGTTTTAACATATTAATATTTTTTAATATTATTTAGTATTTAATTAAATATCTGTGTTAAACTAAAATTATTTTCAAGATTTTTGTTCGACAAAATTATTTGGCTAGTTTACATCTTACTATTTTATCTGTAAATTTTATTTGATTTTTAGAAGTTGTAAAAAGAAAGTTTGAAAAAGTTTCAAACGCTGATACTAAACAGCAAATTGGACGATTTTTGAAAAAATGCTCCATCGCGGAAAAATACAAACTAAAATGAATTATTATTTTTTATTGTTTTTGTTGTATATATGTTATATGCTGTATAAGTTGTTATATAGAAAAATACAATCCAGCTAACTTATTTTTAGCTATTTTAAGACGTCTTTTATTTACTTAGCTATTTTAAGACGTCTTTAAGACGCTAATTTTTATTTAAACTAAACACCTAAAAGATGTCTTGAATAAAACGTATTTAGGCCGTTTAAATAAGACGTTTTAAACCAGTCTTTAGTAAGACGTCTTTAAACAATCTTGAGTATGACGCCTTTTCGACGGACAACGTAGACCTTTTTAAGACATCTTTAAGATATCTTAAATAAAACGTTTTTAGGCCGTTTACATAAGACGTTTTAATCCAGTCTTTAGTAAGACGTCTTTAAGCAATCTTGAGTATGACGTCTTTTCGACGGACAACGTAGACCTTTTTAAGATATCTTTAAGACGTTTTTGTTAATCTTGAGAAGACGTCTTTAAGACAGCTTAAAGATGTCTTTTTGTTTGCTGGGTTACATTTTTACTTTGCACATGTTTAAAACTTTGAAAAATGATCAAAAAATTTTTATTGACCATGCCACTAAAAATAATCGATTTTGTATCTTATATTTATCATATTTTTAAACTCAAACTTATTAACACAATAAAAAACAAAGCTTATCTAAAAATTTTAAAAACCGCTCTCCCAACCCCATCGGAAAGGAATTCTCCGAATTTTCACTTACAACACATTGAGTCCATTTATCAACTGATAATATATACAACTTATTATAATCCCGACACTTTTTATTTACTTTGTTGATGGTAATTTTTTAAAAGATTTTTTGTTGTTTTAGAATTTTTAGTTTTACTAAGATTTTTTATAAAAATCCTCTTTTAAATTTGTCTCCTTTAAGTATGTCTCATTTAAATATATCTCCTTTAGGAATGTCTTCTTTAAGCCTCCGTTTTTTATGGCAGTCTTTCCAGGATTACTAGAATTTACCAAGATTTTTGTGCTTTTTTTAGATGTACATGTTTTAAAATTTTCCTTTAAGTAAGGCTTTAGTTGGGAAGGGAGATTGTTCCATGTTTGTATGCTTTTATATTGTATGGATTCATAACCGCACTGAACACTTTGATATTTTGGTACAGTTATAATTTTGTTAAGTTTTTTATGCAATTTGTTAATTAGGAGCAAGTTGGTGTCATCTGCAAAGTGATACGCATGAGAAAATTTAAGTGAAACATTTACATCATTGATAAAAGTTAGAAAAAGTAATGGTCCTAAAAATAAGCCTTGTGGAACACCATTAAAAAATTTAGCTAGTTTTGAGTTGAAACCATTATTTAAAACAAACTATGTTTTATAACAAAGATAAGAAGAAAACCAGAGAAAAAGAATATCTCTAACACAGTTGTGTTGCAATTTTTTGAGGAGGATTTTGTGATCAAGTGTATCAAATGATTTTTTTATGTCAATCAACTCTCCACTCGTAAAGTGTTTATTATCGATGGCTCGTCTAACTTTCTCTGTTACTTTTATAAATGAATGAGTTGTTGAGTGTTTGTTGCGAGAACCATATTGATATTTGTATCGACATTTTATATTTCCCTAAAAAAAGATTGAGTCTTTGAAACATTGCTTTTTTAAACAGTTTACTTAGGTTGAAAAAAAGAGAAATAGGTCGATAGTTGTAATAGTCTATAAAAGAGCCATTTTGTGTATAGGAATTATTTTGTCTGCATTAAAAGCTCCTGGAAAAATACCATTTTGAAAGAATTATTATTCATCGTACATAGAGATAATGTGAGAGTTTTTTTTTGGAGATAATGTGAGAGCTTTAGAAGAAATGTTGGTTGACTATTGGTACCTAGGCTTTTATTATTTTTAAGAGTACTTTTTATGAGATTTGACACCTCATCTTAAGTCACGGAATCAATAAAAAATAAATTGGTTCAAAGTAATCTAAGAAAGTTGCTAAAAACACATTTAGACGGAACAATATTTTCAGATAGTTTGAAGTGAATAGTTGAAAACTAGTTATTAAATATATAAGCAACACTGGTATGATCTGAGATACTATTTTCATTGATTTTGAGATTAAAAGACTTAATATTAGTAGTGGATTTGATGTTAATGATTTTGTATAATATTAGTAGTGGATTTGATGTTAATGATTTTGTATAATATTAGTAGTGGATTTGATGTTAATGATTTTGTATAATATTAGTAGTGGATTTGATGTTAATAATTTTGTATAATATTAGTAGTGGATTTGATGTTAATAATTTTGTATAATCTTAGTAGTGGATTTGATGTTAATGATGTTAATGATTTACCTAATTTCACTCCAAGTATCTTTTACATTATTGATGTTGTTTTTAAAAAAAATGCAAATTATAAAACTGTAAAACTTGATATAACACTTTCGTTCACATTTTTTTATATAAAAAAAAAATTCTACGATTCTTTCTCATTATTAACTCGGGTGTAATGGCTGCCATGAATTCCGTGTCAAACACGCATAAATGAGTAACGGCAACAGCATTATGTTCAGTTATAATATTTAATAACTTACAATTTTTTTTTTTTTAAATTAGCTTTAGAAAACTTTAATTTAATTGATTTAAGAAAATACGTTATAAATTACCTGTTCTGAAGTACAAATAACATGCTTTCATGTTTTCATGATTACCTGTTTTAGAGTACAAATAACAAGCTTTCATGTTTTCATGATTACCTGTTCTAAAGTACAAATAACTTTCATGATAATTTTCTAAAATACTTTCACAGTTATATTGATTTAGTTGTAATATATCATGTAACATAAAACCTAACAATTTTATGTTACATGATAAATTAATTTTTAAAGTTTGAAATTTTAATGATTAAAAAAATACTTATTTTGTTTTTTATGTTTAAACTGAAATTTTTTTTTTAAATGTAACTAATAAACTTTATGAGATTTATTAGTATAACACATTTATACGCATTTTGCATTGTACTAGTAATACAAAATCTCAGTTTTTATCATTACATCACTTAAATCATAAATTCACAAAAAATCATGAAAATTATTTCATAGCAGTTTTTTTTACTAAACATGATTGCTTTAACCTGGACCAAACTCACCCCATGTAGTAGGCCGAATTCATCCTATTTTTTGAGCTCCTTTTAAAAAAAAGCATTCAACATTTAAACTTCAAAAACGAGATAGAATTAAATACTGATATTTTAAAATTAATTTAGTGCATATTTCAGTGAAATACCTTTACTAAGTATTGCTAAGGATGTAAAAGTTAACACAAATAAAATAAAGATGTTGGGATTGCAAAATAAATAATTAGACTAAATAACTATTAAATAAAATAATAACAAATGAAAATAAATTACTAATATTTTATCCTTTATTGCACCATTTATTGCACCATTTTCTTCCTTTCATTATATAAATACAATCAAAAAATTACGCACAAATATTTTGGTATTCAATAATCTTTTTAGAGTGCAGAAAGTTTTTTTTTTTTTTTACCGCTTCGAACAAACTTCATAATAAATAGTTGTGGATAAAACTTGATCGAAAAACATTAAGTATATTGTTTCTGAAACAACTGTGCACGTTGGACCTGATCCTGTTCTTTCTGTCAATCTTGCTATTATATTCTTTATCACTTCGAAAAGACTTAAAGTGAAAATTGGCGTCACAAATAGTAGTAATAAAATAAATGTACGAGTAGATGTAACCATTTTACAACTTCTAAATAAATAAATACTTATATGTTTACTTTATAATATACGTACGTTGATATAACATACATAAATTAAGTTTATATGTAACATACTAAATTGAATTCAAAGTGAAAAAATTTTCAAAGTTTTATAATCGAGTTTTATATATGAAAAGTTTTATAAATTTTTCCATAATATAACGAGTTTAATAAATTAGAGATTATTTAAAATTTTTTTAATTAGTTTCTAAAATGACAAATATGAAAATAAGATTTTATGAAAATTTAAACAAATTACATATTTTATGTAACATACTAATATTTTTAATCTTTGGCTAAACTAGTTTAGGAAGAAAATAGGAAACGTAATTTCCTGATAATTTAAAATTTAACTAATATTTAAAAAAATAATAATATTATAAACAATAATAAAAAATAGCAAACATATGTAATTAAAAATGATATATTATTGTTATTTATTTCGTCATTATAAACATTTTTACAAGTAATCATTATATAAACCAAATTAATAAATAACTACGAGAAGCTTGTAACAAAAGAATAAAAAAATAATTAAAGTAAGAAACTTAACAAGATATTATTATTTTCTGTTAAAAATTATGTTACTACGTCAAAAAAATACTGTTTAACTTTTAAAATAAATCATTAAGGTTATAAATTTCACATTATTTCATTAAGAACTATGTTTCATAGACGAGGTCCTCTATA